AAGTTGTCGCGATTTAGAATATTGCAACATCTGTGAATTTTCGGGACTCTTGTCGCTAATAACTTTGGATATTCACAGGGTGATTATTGTTAAGGATGTAGAATTTTTTATAGAATATTTTTAGAGATTGACAATGTTAATTCTTAGAAGTTGTCGAGATTTAGAATTGCAACATCTGTGAATTTTCGGGACTCTTGTCGCTAATAACTTTGGATATTCACAGGGTGATTATTGTTAAGGGAATAGATATAGAATTTTTTATAGAATATTTTTAGAGATTGACATTGTTGATTCTTAAAAGTTGCCGCGATTTAGAATATTGCAACATCTGTGAATTTTCGGAACTCTTGTCGCTAATAACTTTGGATATTCACAGGGTGATTATTGTTAAAGGAGTAGATATAGAACTTTTTATAGAATGTTTTTAGAGATTGACATTGTTGATTCTTAAAAGTTGTCGCGATTTAGAATATTACAACATCTATAAATTTTGGGAACTCTTGTCGCTAATAACTTTGGATATTCACAAGGTGATTATTGTTAAGGGAGTAGATGTAGAATTTTTTATAGAATGTTTTTAGAGATTGACAATGTTGATTCTTAAAAGTTGTCGCGATTTAGAATATTGCAACATCTATGAATTTTGGGGACTCTTGTCGCTAATAACTTAGGATATTCACAGGGTGATTATTGTTAAAGGAGTAGATGTAACTATGGAGTTTAGGCTACGTTACGGTATCGCGTTGGATACTTAACCTCTTGCGCTGAAATAACGTGTCACACGCGTCGAGAATTGTTTGTCCCAAAATTACAGTATTTTCTCAGTTAAGTATATTTAAATGTAACCCGGGCAAAACAAATGATAAGTTTATTACTTCTTAATAATTTCTATCCAGTGATATCATACTGACGAGTTTAAAAGAAAGAGAAAGCGACGAATTATTTTATACGGTCACTCGTTATGGTCCGTGAACCAGTTGCCAGCGCAAGGGGTTAAGAGAGAAATAATAATTTAGGAAAAGAATAATTTATCACGTAGGTGATAAAATTTTATTAATCCTCAACTTGGATTCTTGGATTAGAGGTATCGATAATAATCTAAATTCCCTAGAAAGTAAAGTTTCTTACACATCTTTGAAATTTTTATTTCCCATGTATTAATTTGTGAAATTAGAAAAAATATTTTGCACCAACGTTGATTCGAAACGATTGAAATCCTTAAAAATATTCGAAATTAATTGTGCGAAATGTTTATTGAGAAAACAATTATCGGAATATTTATAGCGGAACCGAATAACAAATCATTCAAAAACTGGAGTACAATTGAAAATGAAACAGAATCGAGTGATCGAATATTACCCATGATCCGACGATGCCAATTGAGGATTGATTCTTCTCTGTCTATTCAAGAACCGCGACTGTATTTCTTCTCTTCGCCATCTTTTCATTCCGACGAATGATTCGCGTTTTGACATCTTCTCTACACTCTAACTCTGTCTCTCTTCTTCTGCGCGCTTGCTGAAAGTATGTACATGTATAAAAGCAAGGCAAACGAGATACATATATATCGCTGGCGAGCTGTGTGTGTTGTCCCGTAACACGAACAAATCTGAAACATCCGCAGACGTCGCGTCGCGTCACATGACCGACATGACCAGCAGCTTCAAATCGAAAACCGAGAAATTCGTCAGCGACATCCAGTCGGATCTGAAGCAGGGTAAGCCGATCCTCAAACATCCGGCCGACAGTCGAACCAGCGATGGCGACGAGCCCAGAACTTACAGAGAAGAGACCCGACACTCGGAACATGGTAATTTCATTTCACAGTCTAGCGTAATTCAATTGTACGACGTAATGAATGCTCAATTACGCGACGTATCGTAGCGTGTGCATAATTCAATTATTATTATGGGGATAATTTGAAGAATTTGCTTATCGTTGAAATTGTTGTATTCTATACTTTGAGATCAGACAAGTATTCGTTTCGTTTATTATTGCACTTATATCGGCACTTATATCGTATCGTATGCTGAAAATTGGATCCTTTGATATTGAGAATCGAATAAGCATCTGCTTGATAATTGTTGCAAGTTTGCAACGTGGTACGTATTTTATACTGCGTTGCGTCGAACGCAGAATATTTCATCGCGAAGGAGTGGTAAAAGCGATTGAAATAATTGAATAATTATAAATATCCCACATCTAGAAACCAAACAAGCGTTTGCTTAAAAATCACTGAAAGTTCAAAGGCCCTGAGACAGTTCTGAAAAGTTGTATCAACGATAGTATCAATGGGGGAAAAAAAACCCAGCGAAGCCCCACTGTATCAAAGAGAGGATCTTCGAATCACGAAACCCCTGTTCAATCGCCACTTGTAAAAAATATGCAAAAAAAAAAAAATCGCAAAAAACAAAAACGCAGGAACGAAGCACATCGATCCAGACACCGGGCTGATATACTTCAAGTACGACTTCGGCTACGAGTTTGGGATCGTGCTTCCCGGCGAAGGCAAGCGGACGGTCAGCAGTACGAACAGAACGATCCAAGGTCAACGACGAGCCAGCGACATCGAGGTGCCGATCGTCCACGAGTTCACCACCAGAAAAGAGAACGGCTACGCGAAACGGAGCAGCTCCACGGCGTCTTCCACGCGGCCGGGCAAATCCCCGGAGAAATTCGCCACGTCGAAGACAGTGAAATGGGAGCCAACGTCGGAGAGCGAGTTCTCCGAGTCGGAGGACGTGAGAAACGCGAGGAAAAGGCAGCAAGACGGGGGAAACGCAATGGGGGCGCCGCCGAGTCTTGTCATACCCTGTTCTTCACCATCGCCGTCCAGATGGGATCACACGACGCCCAGTCCACTTTCCCTGAGCCCAAGCTTACCAAGTCTCTCCCCCAGATACAGTAGTGCCACCGGACCACCCAGCAACGTCGACTCGGCAGGTATACGACCTGCTTCTCCGACGATTATGGCGGCTGTTATCATCGCAATTTTCTCAGCCTCTGTTCATCCTTCAGCTCTTTTGTTTCTCTGCTTCTCTTGATCTTGACATTTTTCTTTTTCTTTTTTTTTTTTTTTTTTTTTTTTTTTTTTATATTTTTTTTTATATTTTTTTTTCTTTTTTTTTTTTTTTTTTTTTTTTTCTATCGTTACCTTACCTCTGCACGAGTTTGGTCATTTGACACTTGACACGGAGTTCGTTTTGTCGACGCTTTGATTAATTTGATTAATTTGGGACGGGAGGTGAGAAAAGTTTGTATCTGATTTAAGAATCTTTTGCGAGAGATAATTGATTTTTTAGGAGAAAAATTTAATTGATATCGATGATCTTTTATTTTTCAAGAAACGTTGAGAGGTATTTTAAATCAGTAATTGTTTTGGAAAATATTGTTTAGCATTTGTAAGATCAGTGATACGTTTGGTTCGAAACTTGTGACTCTGCACTTGTATTGTTATTCTTATTAACGCTTTTGTGTTCCGTTTCCTTGGGAAAAGAATCCAATAGTCATGAATTTCACCCTTTCGTAAATTTTTTTTTTTGGAATTGCATCAAACCACCATTTCTTATATACCTTGCTCTTGTTTGCTTCGTGTTATCTCCACGTTTCTGAAAATTTCGAAATTTATCCAAACTTCATGTTCACCATATTTCCTTGTTTTTCAAAAATATCAAGTTTGTTTGACACGCTTTTCTGTCAGCCATTTTCTGCTCTACACGTGTGCATTCTCCAATTTAATTTCTTCCGCAGTTTTACTCGCCATATAACGTTTCCTTTGCTCCGAAAGAACATCAGGTTTGTTTGACACGCTTCTCTACTCCACACGTATGCTATTCTTCAATTTCATTCATTCACTGCGTAATGTTTCTTTGCTTTCGAAAAGATATCAAGTTCGTTTGACGTGCTTTCCCACAATATCTAGAAAAATTTTCTGCTCTACTGCGGTTTCTTTCCATTAAAAATATTACACGTGCGAAAGAGATTTCAACCTCTTCTTTCTCTCCCGAAATTTTCTTTCGCTCGACACGCAATTTTCAACTTCTACTGTCTCTTAAATTTACCGCATACAGTCAATACACTTTCTCGATCATGTCGAGCTATAGTCCGAGACTAGTGTTCTTCTTTTTTTTTTTTTTT